GTTGGAACTTTCTAAAACGTCAGCGATTCAGATAGCATCTTTAACATCTAGAGTGATTCAACGTAAGTTGTGTCTTGCGTGTGGTCCTTATCCTCTTCTAAATAGCCAGCTTAGTGAAGTCACCCTTTGGAGAGGCGTAGTCTCTGTCCTGAGGAAGCTTGCCCTGGACACTGATCAGTTGTCTAGTTGCCCCCCAAGGTGGCTTCTGCTTGTGCTGACTTAGGTAGGACGAGGAGACCATTGCTTGGTCCCATGCTGCCTTTCTGCTCATTGGTCTGCTCGAGTCCCTTGTTTTGGCTCTTGTGTGCAACCTTCCAACCTAAGAGTTTCCAACCCACCTGCAAATATATTGGACAGTATTCTTTTGCGATCATTTGCGGAAATTTTCTTGGAAGTAGATCACCAGATTTTTCTTGTCTGTCTTAGTCTGAAACTTGCCTACCATGGGTGGCCCTGCCACCTTGAAATATTAGTGGCCAAAGGAACCCCAGTGGCGTAATGGGGCACATGTTGGGCTGCAATCCACAAGGTCAGCAGTTTGAAGGCACCAGCTGGCTCTGCAGGACAAAGAGGAGGCTTTCTACTCCTGTAGAGGGTGAGAGTCTCAGAAACTCACAGGGTCAGTTCTCTGTCCAGTAGGGTTGCTGTGAGTCAGCATCAACTTAAAAGCAGTGAGTATTGCCTCCTAGCAACAAGCAAGACACCAAATAAGACTTGGATCATTGTCTTAAAGTAGCATCAGCATCGAGTCCTAACCCTCCTGCACATCTTTTCTTCATCCTTCTTTGCCTTTAGGACAAAAAACCCTAGAACATTATTTTTCTGTCCACTTCAATTATACCTGAACCCCCTCTCAGCATTTCTTGGCTGTGGTTACAGGCTGCACCCAGAGACTCTCGGGCCTTCATGTGCAGACTGAGCAGCCCACAGCCAGGTTCGAAGCCCATTAAGTCTTTGCTCCCTCCTCCCCAGGTCGGCCCAGGAGTGGCTGATGCCTCCCTTCACAAGGCTACTTTGTCCTCCGGTGCCTTTTTCCTGTGGAATAACTCCTTCTCGTGTTACTGCGCTTTGCTGTTAGCAAGCACTTTCCCCCATGACTATGACTGAACAGGTGTTGCTCTGCTACTAACGGAGTCTCCAGCTGTCCCCCTCCTCCGACACAGACCCGGCGAAATCTGTTGTTTGGTCCGTTTCAGCAGATGCAAGACGCACGGAGATGGAGGTCTTCCTTGCAGGATGTGGCGGGTTGGCTGCCAGAAGATGGTCGGGAAAGCCTGGCCGGCTAACAAAGGCAGGCCTTCAGCGGCTGGGTGTAGTCCCCGTTCTGCGTCCCCTTTGGCAGGAGCACAGAGGCTGCTGCAGTGCGGCCAGCCAGCGAAATTAGGAAATAAGGACCTCTTTTATTTACTCAGGCTGCTGAATCATGGGCATTCCTGTCTGCTTGGAGAAAAGTCAGGCGGCTCTACTTTCCACTGGAAGTCTCAGGAGTGTTGGAGACTTTCATCTCTGAGTGTTCACACACTTGTTTTAATGTGCTTTATGGAAATGGTGAAACTCCGCGAGTACGGTTGCTGGAGAAAAACAGCTGCACTAACTAGGCACACGCATTTGCATCTTTAAATAGACTTTTCGGCTGGATAGTTGGTTTCCAGCAATGTGTGTGTGTATCTGTCTGTCTCCCCTGTGAAAACTGTGGCTCTCAGAGAGTCAGCGAGTGTAAAGTGACTGATTTCTATAAATTAAAATTTAACATGGGCATGCTAAGTACTTGATATTGAAATGCAGAAAACTTGCCTTAACACAGAAAGGCCCTCCCTGTAAGTAGCAGTAAGTGAGGGTAGAAGAGGTTGGGGGTGGTGGGGTGGTGGGGAGGGATTCAAGTCGATTCAGAAAGGGAAGTTGACGGCATCTTCCCCCGTTTCTTCCATATTTCAAAAGAAACGGAACTGGTTTAAATCTGGATTCGCAATGTCAGTGTTGGGGCATGCTTGCGATGGCCTGGATGGTCAAGTGAATGTGGACTGGCGGCTTTGGAGGACTCTAGTAGACCTCAGAGAGCCAGCAACAGTGACTTCACAAGGTCTTGGGAGAAGTTGATACCCTTCAAACTGGGACCCAACCCCGCCCCCAGAAGCTTTGGGAATTCCTTGTGTGTCCCTGAGAGAACAGGTCCGTGTATAGCAGGAGTAATACATGAGATTTTTCAATGTATATTTTAAAGCAAACACCAGCCTTCTTTGGAACCTTTACTTTAAAAATAACCATTCTCGGGCTCAGACCTTTTCTTTCCTGATCACTCCATTCCCTGGCCCTGAGCCTTCAAATTCTGTAGGTAATTAAGAAGAAAAAAAAAATATATCTTATAACACAGACACCTCATCCATGACAACATTCACTTTTATTTTATTGTATTTTTAAAAGGCCAACTAAGTTTTAATCTTAAAGTTACAGATACTGGAGGGAAGCCTCCTGCTCCCTTGAATCCTGCCTTGGGTAAAAACTTGAACCTCTTACCCCGTGGCTCACTTGACATTCAGTTGAGATTTACACGCTGAAGAGAACCGTCATGGAACCACAAACAGAAACCTGATTTAAGCGTGAGGTCAGTGATTGCTCACTATTTAGAGTGGCTCATTGCGCAATAACTCCTCATACATTTGTCTAATCGTATATCTTGCCTGCAAATAATCTGCAGTTGAATAATAAATCCACTCACTAAAAGTTCAGGTTCACTAGTTATAGTCTCCCAGTCTAGATGCATGACAAATTCTGATTCACTGTTATCCCCAAATGTACAAATGAGATGATGTGTTGGGAAATATTTTTAGTTGAACAACAGGATTTAAGCTGAAACATGAAGAGTAGACTTAACCTAGAATGCCGAGCAAATTTAATAGAGTCTTCCCAGCCCCCCCCCCTTGAATTAAGAGACAGTATTATTAAACACTTGGGTTTATTTAGGAATATCTGCTCTTGGTGACTTATGGCTTCTAAAGGGAGAAAGCTAGAATCATCATTGAGTTTTTATTATTATCTTCAAGTTTTTAAAATGGTTTTTCTGTAAGCTGGGTAGCAAGCTGGATTTCTCTACACATGTTCTTTGTATGTATTCACCTACACATGTAAATGACATGATTACCAGACCTTTTGTTACACTAGGAGCACGTTCGCGTAGAGAGGCAGAGAAAGGAGGGCGCAAACTCATGCGGTTTTCAACTTGTCCCTCGAAGCTTTGTTGCAGCGGGCAGGGAGCCAGGAATGGTGTTTGGTTGTTTTCTCAGAGGTAGATGGTTGCCATCTGGCATTGATAGTGAGATGGTGTTGTCATCAGTTTCTAGATGCAGGAAAGGAATGATCCTCATCTGGTTCCTGTGGATAAGCAAGAGTTTAATAATCTAGCAAAATCTTGTTACCTTAAAGAAAGCCGACTTGGAATTTATTTATATAATGCCCACGAGTTTCTACTTTGATGTGAATAATCTAACTCGTTGAACTTTTGTTTTAGAGAATTTAAAAAGGTTATATATGTATACATATATGTGCCCTAAATCAGTGTTATTAGAATATTTTAATAAAATCCTAATGGAACCTCTTTTTCTAGAACAAACATGCTCCCCACCCTCAACCTCCATGGTCTGCCTCTTTTACTTGTCTGTGTTTTGAGAGTTCTCAGTCTTTTGACAAGGGAAAAGCTTTTAAAATGTTCTTCTGATCTTGAGTGATAGATTGTTTTGAAAAGTGACAAAGAAATCTCACAGCCTGTTTGGGAAAAGGTCTCATTTTCCATGCGGATATTAAGAAGACAACAGAAATAAGAGGGTACATTTGCGAAGAACATACTTAAACCCAGCTAAGATGAGGTGGAGTTACGTTATGGATAACTTGCTAAGTTTATATCTGGCTTTCAGTCTTGTTTGTCTTCTCTTTGTTACTCATAAATCTCTCAGCATTTACCATAATCATTTATCACTTTTCCTGTTTCCAGTTTTTAGCAAGTTGCTTTGTTTCTGCCCACCTCAAAGTGCAGGTCCTGTTTAGCTAAGGAAGTTCAGGCCACTGAAGCTTTTGCAAAAGGAAGAAGTGGCAGGCCACCTCTTGAACTTCCCAAACAAAATACACGATTAAGATCTGGCCCTGGTAAAACTCTCATTTTTTTCTCTCCTTGATCCTGCCTGATCCCAGCTACATGTAATATCCAGCAATACCCCTCTAACATTTAATAATCCATTTTCTGGCCGATGGTTTTCGAATCTTTCTGTTATTGAAGGACTCCTGGTTGCCTTTCATTACACAAGACATAATTATTATTGTGTTTTCTGTCTTCTTTCATGTGCTTACTTTTTAATATTTTTTTGCTGGAAGCAATAAGGTCTGTATCAATAATAACCCTTATAAAAGATTTTGATCTTCAGAATTGCCTTTTATATATATATATAAAAACAAGCAAAATGCAGGGGGACTGTTTTTTATTAAATATTAGACATCTGGGTTGACTGCATTAATTTTAAAACCATTTCTGTAATATTTCCCCTTTTCATTGGGCTCCTCAGATGCTCACATAATATGCAAATCATTTTAGAATGAATACAAAAGAAACATTAAATATATTAAAATCTGCGTTTTAATAAAATTGTCAATGTGTAATATATACCTTGCTTCAAAGAAGAATGATAAAAAGTAATAAAAGGGTAATTTAGATACAGAACTACTTAATATCTTTTTGTATTTTACAACCCCATCTTAAAAAAAAATCAGTGTAGAATAAGAGCATTGGAGACTCTGGTTTTAAAAGGTCTCATTCAAAAGTCCTTGCCCCTTTCTTCCTTTCTGCCTCCCTCCCTTCCTCCCTCTCCTGCTTCTACCCATCCACCCACCCACCCATCTTTCCACCAAAGGTTCTAGACGATCCAGCTCTGACTGCTAGTTGAAGGGGTGCAGCAAACTCACTCTTCCGCGTTCTCAGCATGTGGAATGAATTGTGCCATTGCTTCTCGTTGCAGATGGAGTGGATGTTGAAGATGACCCCTCCTGCTCTTGGCCCGCTTCCTCGCCTTCTAGCAAGGACCAGACTTCCCCGAGCCATGGAGAGGGCTGCGACTTTGGAGAGGAAGAAGGTGGCCCTGGCCTTCCATACCCGTGCCAGTTCTGTGACAAGTCGTTCAGCCGCCTCAGCTACCTAAAGCACCATGAGCAGAGCCACAGCGACAAACTGCCTTTCAAGTGCACCTACTGCAGCCGGCTGTTCAAACACAAGCGGAGCCGAGACCGCCACATAAAACTCCACACCGGGGACAAGAAGTACCACTGCAGCGAGTGCGATGCCGCGTTCTCCAGAAGTGATCACTTGAAGATCCACTTAAAGACTCACACGTCCAACAAGCCATATAAATGTGCCATTTGCCGCCGTGGGTTCCTCTCCTCTAGTTCCTTACACGGACACATGCAAGTTCACGAGAGGAACAAAGACGGCTCGCAGTCCGGGTCCCGGCTGGAGGACTGGAAGCTGAAGGACACTCAGAAGTGCAGTCAGTGCGAGGAGGGCTTTGACTTCCCGGAGGACCTGCAGAAGCACATTGCCGAGTGCCACCCCGAGTGCTCCCCCAACGAGGACCGTGCGGCCCTGCAGTGTGTCTACTGCCACGAGCTGTTTGTGGAAGAGACCTCCCTCCTGAACCACATGGAGCAGGTGCACGGCGGCGAGAAGAAGAACTCGTGCAGCATTTGCTCCGAGAGTTTCCACACGGTTGAGGAACTGTACAGCCACATGGACAGCCACCAGCAGCCGGAGTCCTGCAACCACAGCAACAGCCCTTCGCTGGTCACCATGGGCTACACCTCCGTGTCCAGCACGACCCCCGATTCTAACCTCTCCGTGGACAGCTCCACGATGGTGGAAGCTGCCCCGCCGATCCCAAAGAGTCGAGGGAGGAAGCGGGCTGCTCAGCAGACCTCTGACCTGACGGGCCCCTCGAGTAAGCAAGCGAAAGTGACCTATAGCTGTATTTACTGCAACAAGCAGCTGTTCTCGAGTCTTGCCGTTCTGCAGATTCACCTGAAAACTATGCATTTGGATAAGCCCGAACAGGCCCACATCTGTCAGTATTGCCTGGAGGTCTTGCCCTCGCTCTACAACCTGAACGAGCATCTGAAGCAAGTGCACGAAGCTCCGGACCCCGGTGTGATCGTCTCAGCCATGCCTGCCATCGTCTACCAGTGCAACTTCTGTTCGGAAGTTGTCAACGACCTCAACACGCTTCAGGAGCATATCCGATGTTCGCACGGCTTTGCGAACCCCGCAGCTAAGGAGAGTAACGCGTTCTTTTGTCCCCACTGCTATATGGGCTTTCTCACGGACTCTTCCCTCGAAGAGCACATAAGGCAAGTCCACTGTGACCTCAGCGGCTCCCGATTCGGGTCCCCAGTGCTCGGGACTCCAAAGGAGCCCGTCGTCGAAGTCTACTCTTGTTCCTATTGTACAAACTCGCCAATCTTCAACAGCGTTCTTAAACTGAACAAGCATATCAAAGAGAATCATAAAAACATTCCCTTGGCCCTGAATTATATTCACAACGGAAAAAAGTCCAGGGCGATGAGTCCCCTCTCCCCCATGGCCATTGAGCAGACGTCTCTGAAGATGATGCAGGCGGTGGGAGGCGCCCCTCCACGCCCCGCAGGAGAATACATCTGTAACCAGTGTGGTGCTAAGTACACGTCCCTCGACAGCTTTCAGACCCACCTCAAAACTCATCTCGACACTGTGCTTCCGAAACTGACCTGCCCTCAGTGTAACAAGGAATTCCCCAACCAGGAATCCCTGCTGAAGCACGTGACCATCCACTTTATGATCACCTCCACGTACTACATCTGCGAGAGCTGTGACAAGCAGTTCACGTCCGTGGACGACCTGCAGAAGCACCTGCTGGACATGCACACCTTCGTCTTCTTCCGCTGCACCCTGTGCCAAGAGGTTTTCGACTCGAAGGTCTCCATCCAGCTCCACCTGGCCGTGAAGCACAGCAACGAGAAGAAGGTCTACCGGTGCACCTCCTGCAACTGGGACTTCCGCAATGAGACGGACCTGCAGCTCCACGTGAAGCACAACCACCTGGAAAACCAAGGGAAGGTGCACAAGTGCATCTTCTGCGGCGAGTCCTTTGGCACGGAGGTGGAGCTGCAGTGCCACATCACCACGCACAGCAAGAAGTACAACTGCAAGTTCTGCAGCAAAGCCTTCCACGCCATCATCCTGCTGGAGAAGCACTTGCGGGAGAAGCACTGCGTGTTTGAAACCAAGACGCCCAACTGCGGCACCAACGGCGCGTCCGAGCAGGTGCAGAAGGAGGAGGCGGAGCTGCAGACGCTGCTGACCAATAGCCAGGAGTCCCACAACAGCCACGACGGGAGCGAAGAAGACGTGGACGCCTCGGAGCCCATGTACGGCTGCGACATCTGCGGGGCCGCCTACACGATGGAGACCCTGCTGCAGAACCACCAGCTGCGCGACCACAACATCCGCCCCGGGGAGAGCGCCATCGTGAAGAAGAAAGCCGAGCTCATTAAAGGGAATTACAAGTGCAACGTGTGCTCTCGAACCTTCTTCTCGGAGAACGGCCTCCGGGAGCACATGCAGACGCACCTGGGGCCCGTCAAACACTACATGTGCCCGATCTGCGGCGAACGCTTCCCCTCCCTCCTGACGCTGACGGAGCACAAAGTCACGCACAGTAAGAGCCTGGATACCGGGAACTGCCGCATTTGCAAGATGCCCCTCCAGAGCGAGGAGGAGTTCTTGGAGCATTGCCAAATGCACCCCGACCTGAGAAACTCCCTGACGGGCTTTCGCTGCGTGGTCTGCATGCAGACGGTGACCTCCACCTTGGAGCTGAAGATCCACGGGACATTCCACATGCAAAAGACAGGGAATGGGTCGGCCGTGCAGGCCGCGGGGCGTGGCCCGCATGTCCAAAAACTCTACAAGTGCGCCTCTTGCCTCAAAGAGTTCCGTTCAAAGCAAGACCTGGTGAAACTTGACATCAATGGGCTGCCCTATGGCCTGTGTGCCGGCTGTGTGAACCTCAGTAAGAGCGGGAGCCCTGGCATCAACCTGCCGCCCAGCGCCAGCAGACCCGGCCTGGGCCCCAGCGAGGGCCTGGGCGCCTTGGAGGGGAAAGGCAAGGCTGGGGGGCTAAAGACGCGCTGCTCCAGTTGCAATGTTAAGTTCGAGACCGAGGGCGAACTCCAGAACCACATCCAAACTGTCCACAGAGAGCTGGTGCCAGACAGCAACTGCACACAATTGAAAACGCCCCAAGTGTCGCCAATGCCCAGAATCAGTCCCTCCCAGTCGGACGAGGTAACTTGCCTTTTTCTGTTGTTTGCTCTGTGACCTCCAGGACTCGGCCCCTACTATTAGGTGTACACTCTTCCCCGGCTTTAGGTCTGGTCCTGGGCTAAGGGAGGCTTCTGTGGCAGTGCAGTGCTCCCCCTCCTGAACCCCCTCGCCCCCACCCCATAGCCATTAGCTAGCAATTCCTAGCTTCTTGATCAGCAGCATTTTGGCTTGAATGGTGCAAAATCGGACTCATTCCAGTCTCCCTAGGATACTGTCTTCTCTGTGACTGAAGAGCCCAGCGCTCATGCCAAGACCACTGAGATCTGGAATCTCAGTGTAGCTGCGCTGCCCGTTGAAATCCCCAGCCATGCCTTGTGTGCATGGCAGAGAGATGATGACAGGAAAGTAAGAGACTGTGAGCCAACATACCGACCTCAAGAGCAAATGCAAAAGAATGGATACATGTTGGTGAAGAACACGTTGGGGGTTGTGGCTGTTGAGAACCCCGTTCTCACCCGTCGCTGCTTTCCGTTGTCTGCTGGGTGGTGAGGAAAGTATGTTCCCACCCCCACGTGTTTCAGCCCCCTCCTCTGTGTTGTCTTGAGCGCCATGCCCCCACCCCACCCCCACATCTGTTTGAAAACTCTTCGCTCTCTGAGTTGCAAGACCTCTTTTCCATGTTCTTTTCCGCTTCCCTCCTCAGTTGAAGGGTCTTTTCACCTTCCCTTTGCCGCCGTGCCTATTAAGTAAGGAAATCGTTTTTGCAAGTCGTCATTCCTTGAAGCCCAGCAGAGGCAGGTTCACTTGCGGATGATTTCTTCCTGCTAATGGTTGTGTCTGGCTCCCCATAGGTCTCTCCTCTCCCCCACCTGCCCCTATCTGACCATCCATCCAAATGGAAACCCCAGGGAGGTGCGTCGCTCTACAGTTCGGGGTCAGTGCCTTCCCTTATCTTCCCTCTGCACTCATGCCTTCTGGGAGGCTCCCCGCAGCATCTCCCTGCATGCAGACAGGCATCGGTCCGCTGGTGGGGGAGAGCTGAGAAGACTCATGCATGGTGGCCCCCAGGTGACAGCAAGCTGCCGCTCCTTCTCCACCCCAAGTCGGTCTGCGCTTTTCCGCATTCACCCAAGGGAAGCCTTTCAAACTGACAAGGGAGGACAGCTGCAAGAATGTAGTTGGGGCAAGGGTTTGTGGCTCGTGTGTGGAATCAGAAAGTTTCCTCTGAAAGCACTCTAGGTAGTTTTAGCCACATAAGATAAATTCTTCCCCTCCCCACCACACCAACTTCTGAAAAGATTTAAACCTGTAGAACAGTTGAAAAACATCACAATGACTGTGTGTGTGTGTGTGTGTGTGTGTGTGTACATAGCTCACAGTTCTCAGGTGTCAACATTTGATCACATTCCTTTTTTTCTCATTCTCTCTGAAATCATTTCTATTAAGCACAAGCCAGATGATCGTTGAAGATAACAACAGGCCATCCCTTGATGATCAGAATATTTTCCTACTTAACCATGATACCATTAACCAGTAAAACAAGCCACTGAGTCCATTTCTGACTCATAGCAACCCTACTCTGAGGAATTTAACTAAATTAACCAGATAAACTAAGGAAATCCATGATGGCATCTATTAAAAGTCCATATTTAAATTTCCCCAGTTGGCCCTAAGATGTGTTGTGACCCCTTTTAAAACATGAATTATTAAAGGAACATTTTTGTTCCTGACGACTCCATTTTCACTTTTTTTTTGCTAAACATATCTGGAGGAGCTTGCGTGTTCTGCTTATTTTAAATAGTATATAAAATGGATTAAAAGTGACTGTATATTGTATTTAAAACTAAACAAAACCAGGCTCACATATTTCTTAGCAAGGCATGTATGGGTTGGTTTCTTCCTATCTGTTCACAGTTTACATTTTGAGATGTTTCTAAATCAGTGTGTAATATCATAAATACCATTTGAGAGGAAATATTTTACTGATGGAGGGAATATGAATCGCCTGTGTACTATGTTAATTTGGTTAGAGGTACTAGATTAGGGAAATGTATCCTTAAGGAAGGGAAGGCCAAGTCTTTAATTCTACCTAACATATTAATGTCTTGCATTTACATAACATAGCGTTTTAAATATTTTTAAGGAAATTCTAACAATGAGAATAGTGTCATCTCTTTTCCTTTAGTAGGAGTCAGTGGTAAATTTTTTATCTCTGAAATTCCCTAATTGGTTCACCATTTCTCATCATCATCACTATTTTTATTTCATTATACTGAATAATATATAATTCCGAGTTGCTTAAGTCAGAAAATTGTTATGTTCCCATCTCTTTCCTGCACCCTCCAAAGTTAAAAAATACCCAGTGGGCAATATTATTTTAATGGTATTGAAAATGACCTATTCTTTGTATAGAGTTTTACCAAGGAAGTCTAAGAATAATGGCTAACGAGAAAAGAAGCCCAAGCCCTGCCATTGCTCTAGAGCTAGTTCTCTTACTGACCCTATCTCATAGGGTTTCTGAAGCTTTCTAACTCTTTATGGGAGCCTACCTCATCTTCCTCCCAGGGGGCAGCTGGTGGGTTTGAACCCTCAGTCTTTGGGTTAGCTGCCCAACGCTTACCCAACAGCATCACCAGGGCACCTTAAGCAAAAGACATACAGTGAAAATGGATTTGCTCACACTCAGTGTTAGCATAGTTAAGCTTCTCTGACTTCTTATTATGAATATTGTGTACATTTGTCACCAGATTAGGCGGGAATGTTTGCTAACAGACAGGTGCATCGTGTGGGAATACATTTTATCACAAAAAGTAGTATGGCTTGAATAGGTAGGAATTCAGGACCCTAGGTAGGAAGTGGAAGACTGAGCCGTGGAGTGGTGTTTTCATCTCTTCTTGCTGAGGACTGCGACTTCCCAAGGGAAAGGAAGACCACAGGAGACTAGAAACCTTGCACACACAGCTTCTGTACCAAAAAATAGGATTAGAGTTTTCCTGGGCTTTGACTTGGGATCACAAAAGGGTATTGATAGATTCAAAAAACGAGAAAGCATTTTGTTTGACTGAGACGAGATTCCCTAATTAAAAGGGACTTTAACTTAAATACAAAGCTAGGGAAGAATGTATACCCGCTAAATCCCACACTGAGACAATTGGATGGGAGATAAGCTGTCTGACACTTAGCGAAGGTTAAGAGTAGTTAGCTGTCATGCAGTACAGAGATTTGGAATGGAAAGTAGGAGGTCAGAATGTGAACCCCATTTACGCTGCTTAACACTTTGTAAATTTGAAAGCGTTTTCTCGGTTCCCCAATCTTACCATCGCTAATTTAAATGGACAATGAGAGTTTTGTTCTGCACTTTGGCAGCACGGACTTTTTTCCCTTTGCCCTTCAAATTTTGTATGTGATACACATCAATGTAAAAAACCACAATGAGTCTAATCCAGAGTTAATTTTTATGAAGAGATCATTTGAACCATTACAAAAATAGCGACCATACAGCGTTTTCTACGCATAAAACCACCCAGTGAGTTACGGACATTTCGTATGTGTGGAGTGAATGCTAGTTCCTCTGGAGTTCTTTGCCACAGCTCTTCTGTCTGGTCAGGGACTGCCCATCTAGAACGAGTATCTCCGGTCCTTGGAGCACTGTGAGAGATCCTGGAAGCGTGTGGTGTTCTGCCTGCATTTCTCCGGCACCCCTCATCGTTTGATTTCTCTAAGGAATTATTTGCACACACACTGCTGCTGACACCAGTCCATTGATACTGTTCTTGCCAGGGTTAGTGATCATGTGGCTAGATGCACATACAGGGCCAGGGGTTCCCAGTGGAAATCGTCTAGCTCAGCCAGCTTATGTGAAAGCCAAGAAAACAGCCCAGGTAAATTCAAATTTAGCAGATGCCATACAACTAGTCAGTGGTGGTCAAGAGATGAGAGTCCACATCTCTCAAGTGCGAATTCCAGATTCCCTGATCTTCACTCAGCTGACCCTTTAACTGTAACCTTGGTCCTTTTCATTAAAACATGCTTGATATTGCTGCATTATTTCCTTCTGTCAATCACTTCCCACACCCACTGCAAGGGAGCTTCTGCTGTTATCCCCGCACTGCAACAGCCTTCTCTAGGGTCTCTGCAGACCGAATTGACGAGTGCTGTGCACTTTTGTTAGAATCGTTATGCTTGGTTACTCCTCGACTCGATGTCTTTGGCTGCCCCTTCTTTATTGCACCCTTATCTTTCCTCTTGCTTCCCTGGCACCTCGCTCACTGTCCTCGAGCTTCTTCCTCTGCCCACCTCCCACAAGGCAGTGCTCTCCAGGCCCGCTCTCATCGTGCGCACATGCCGTGTGTTCTCAGCTCCCTCCATCGCATTACCTCCCACCCCTGTACTTACTGACAGCGCTGCGGAGAGCAGCTCCAAGGTACAGTGGGAAAATTGGGGTGATGCTAGAACTGTTGTGTATCTTTGTGGTGTTGGTTCTGTGATTGTCTACATGTTTTATTATCCACCAGGCCGTCCATAACATTTGTGAATATTTTGTATGTGAACCACACCTCAATAAAACAAGTTTTTTAAATAACTTAAAGTATCTTCAATGCAAACCTCTCCATCTGGCTTCTGACTGATAGCCACGGTATGCAGGTGTACATATTCACTCACTCCACCCTGGACTTGCAACGCTGTGGCTGTAAAACTGAATTCATCATTCTTTCTCCAAATCTTCTCACATTTGCATTTCACTAGTGATTTCATTGGTCTTTGGAGCATCTTTCTCCACCATCAGCTGATTATCAAGCCATCTAGAATTTGCCTAATACATATTTCTTGAATCAATCTTCACTATTCAGGCTTCTTACTATATGTAGTTAGAATTCAATATCTGATCATCATTCATTAAATTACTCGAACAACCTTGTAATTGGTTCCTCTGACTCTCGTCTCAGTAATTTTCAAGTCCATTTCTACACAGTTGCCAGAACACTCAACACACAAAAACCCAGACCACTGCCCTTGAGTTG